TTATTTTCAAAATATACAACCAAACAAATTAAAAAAAATTCTAAATTATCTCCCTAAAATCTTTTTGTTAAAAAATTATCTCAAAACATAAACCAAACACACTCCTAGTGTTTAGTTTAGAAATTTTTTAAAAAAACTAATTATTTTTGAATTTATGGTTTTAAAAAATTTAGAGCTTGTTTGGAAAGAATATTTGGGTTAAAATAGTAGAAACAAAATAGGTTATTTTAATTAAATAAGATAAAATGTCTCATCTAATCTATAATTATTTTATTTTTTTTCTCACAAAAATTAAAAAAATCAAAAAATTTATTCTAAACGATATTTTTTAGTCTCAAATTAACATAGTGAAAGAGTAAAAAAAAAAAAGTTAAAAAATCAACTCAGAACTCAAATGAGCTCTCAGCTAATTTACTAAATAGTTTGGAAAATGGGTTAATTAGATAAATAGTTTATTTTTTTTGGAATATTCTGACACACACACCAAAAAAAACAAAACAAAACCTCCTCAATAGTTTATTTTTTTTGGAATATTCTGACACACACACCAAAAAAAACAAAACAAAACCTCCTCCTTTGGATGAGAAAAGAGTGGAAATTGTTGATTTTTTTCAAATTATGTTTGACTGATTAGAATATATATATATATATATATATGTGTGTGAAATAGGGACGAGGGCGAATTTTATATTTTGATGGATTGCCTCCTTGGTACAACCCACTCATCAAATTTCCTCATTTTTGTTAAGAAATGGAATTGGCTTAATAAGAGCAATAAAATTTCCTTGGGATAAAAGAAAGAGGCGGTAAAGGGCTATATGAGACATTTTGTAGGTGAAGTTGTTGGGAAATTTTATTTCCACACACCGCATTGTCTCTGTCTACACACTTAATGAACTTTATTTTTATTACAAATTTACCTTTAAATGAAATAACCAAAATAGGCATTCATCCACACACTTAAACATCCAAGTTAGAGATCTCTGTACACAATTTCTTATTTTATACTGTTTTTTTTTTCTCCAACTTTGGGTATTATATGTGAATTAATCACTGTTGATTCTTTTATTTCATAGTTTTTCCCTTCTTTGCTCCGTTATTCCCATTTGTTCGATTCTTTCTCGACAGATATGTATACACAACACTCTTGAATGGATACAATTGATTCAGAGCAAAGAAGGAATGATTGTTCGAAGACCCATTGTATAGATGTGAAGTACCTGATTCACAACACATTTGAATCGCTCAAGAGCAAAAAAATCAAACAGGAGCAAAGAAGGGATGATTGTTCGAAAACCCATTTGTGTTGAGAAGGGATGAAATAACAGAGCAAACAATCAAAGACCCATTTGATTCACAACACTCTTGTAGAATTTCCCTGAAATTAAGCAAAACCAAGCAGGGTCTAATCGCCATAAAATTCCAATTTTACTCCTCATCTGTTACACAAAATGTAAACCTTATCATCATCGTCGTTGACCCTCACTAGATTTCTCGATCGAGAGAGAGAGAGAGAAGCGATGGGGTTATCAACGTCAAAACGAGTCTCTCGAAGCTTCGACTCATCGCCAAATTTCAACTCAGCCTATGACTCAATCTTCGAAGAATGCCTAAACCTAGCCTAACACGCCTTCCCAAGCGTTAAACCCTACCAGACATAGTGGAAGTTCAGAATTTGGTCTTCTAGTTTTCAAATAGTGTGTGGAAAAGGGAATGAAGGGTATTTGGTGTGTGTATAATAATATTGAGTGAAGGCTGTAATTGTAAGTTTTTGTGCGTACATTGAGAAAATTAATCAATATATAAATCAATAGGGATGTGTATTGAGAAAAGATGTATTTTAAGTTATTTAAGTGGGTGGAAATAGAATTTCCCGAAGTTGTTTTGATCTTTCTTAAAAGGACTCTGTATTATACCATCATAATCGTGTATTAAATTTATCATTAAAATTGAATTTGATAAAAAAATGATTCATTTTTCAATTTTATAACAAATTCAAAAATTTACTTTTCTTTTATCAACTTGAGGACCAATATGTCTTTTATCAAATCACTGTTTATTGCCGTTGGATTTTCACTATTAGATATCTCCCGAATGTCCTTCCTGATGACCACCTCCAAGTAAAAGTTTGTGAAAAAATTACACTAACTGGTCATCCGCTCGAATGACCACCTCAAAAAGAAAAATTATAAAAAAATTGCACTAGCCAGTTGACTGGCCAGACATTCGTCTGGTCATCCACCCGGTGGACTGGTGGTTTGACGAAGCCGCAAAATCCTCCGTTGAAGCACCTAATACCAAAGAGAGATTTTCTTTAATTTTTACTCAAATTTAGCAAAAAAAAATTAATGCACCGTTAGAGATACCCTCAGGAGAGGCATTTTGTTCATTTTTATTTTGGTTCTTCATAAATAGCTAGCATCCAATCTATGCAAAAGTTTTTTTATTTTGCCTATATTTTGGTGCATTTCCACTTGCTTAATATTTGTTGTTTCTTCTTTTTTCTGGTCCATTTGATCGTTTGACAATATTATTGTTAAAAGAATATGATTATTTAAAAATATTATTTAAAAAAATAATTTGATAATACATTAAGAAAAATAAATATTTGTAAATGTTACACCATCATTCACGTCAACACTATCTGCATACGAAACATAATATAAAAAATTATATTTTTTATTTATGTTTATAGCATTTTTCTCTTAACTAAAATAAAGAGTATAGTTAGACATAGTTTGGCAAGTGATGATTTTAATCAAAAAGTTAAAAAGTCATTAAAAAAAAATCAAAAAGCCAACAACCTATACCAAAAGTCAAAATTCTCTTCTCTCTCTACTTTTTACACATCTTTTTCGTAAAAAACTAAAAATTTATCCTAAACATACAAATTTTGTTTAACATCATATTTTAACAAAAAAAACTAAAAAATCATGTTTCCAAAAGAGGCCATAGAGTACACTCTAGTTAATTTTTTATTTGTTTTTATTAACACGAGCTAAACTAGTTAGGTAAAATTTAAAAAAAAAAAAAAACCTTTTTTTTTTTGTGTGTGTATTTTTACAAGGCATTTTACCTAACACCCTTTGAGTTGCTCTTAAGAGAGTTATTCTCATCATTTTTAACCCGTGTTCACCTATTTTGTAAAACTAATACTCTATGCACCAATTAGTGTATTAATTATTGTATTAATTGATGATATGACATAATTTAAGATATTTTTGATATTTATAATTTGTATAATAAGCGGGGTCAATAATAATATCATGACTAGTATTAGTACACTAATTAATACAGGTAACACTACTCATTTTGTAAATCAAATGTAACAGCCTGCTTTGGAGAAAATAAATGATTTGTTAATCTAAGAGAGAAGAAAATTTGGTTGTTTTTTCTCACTTGGTTTGGTTAAACGGAAGAGAAATAAAAATAAGAATTTCTTTCATGTCTTTTTTGGATAGACTATTAAAATATATATATATATACATATATTATTCTGTTACAAAAGTCAAATTATTATTATTATTATTATTTTGTAATTTCTTCAAATATTTATTTTTCAGATTGGTCTGTTCTTAAAAAATCTAAAAAAAAAGTTCAATGAGATACTTTCGGTCCTTATTGCTTACACACGAATTTTGAAACTTTATGGAGAAGTGTTTGGGTGGAGAAGGTGCACATCATATGTATTTACGTAAATTTTTTTAAATATAAATAAGTTATCTTATAAAATTATATAAATTCTAACAAATATAAGTAAGTTATGATTTCTCAATTTTTTATGAGTAAACTTACTTATGTTTGTGAAAACTTAAATAATTTTATAAGATAACTTACAAATATTTGTGAGAATTTACGTAAGAGCCTATGGTATACACTTGCATACTAAAGAACTGTTCAATGAGAAAAGGCCAAAAAATCAACTTTTCAGTGTTTTTTTTTTCCCTTTAAAATGTCAAATTTTTCTCACAATTTGTTCGCAAATAGTACATGATGAACATATGGATTGATGGTAGTAGCCAGAACAATTTGGAGATCAGATAAGGACTAATACAGACGAGGATATAAACAAAATTACATGACATAAGATTTTTTTCTTTTCTAAAAATAGTATTTCATTTGAAACTCCGCTAAATTTAGAAAAACAAAATGGCACATTGCTGGATCAAGCACACCTATAATAGAACGGCAAAGGAATTGGTAAAATTTTAGCAGAAAAGAAAAAAGGAGCAGCAGAGCAGCAACAGAGAAGAACAGTCGCAAATTCGCAAGGCAGTAACCAAACTATTAAGGAGTTGAAGTAAGAAGTAAGGCAATGGCAACAGTGAGCTGGAGATGGTGAGCAATTGCCCTGAACTAGCTGTGGTGGTGGTGGTGGTGGTGGTGGTTTGATCCATATATTGGGAAGGCCAGGAAAGCCAGAGGGAGGAGACGGTGGTGGTGGAAGGAGGATGGGCATGAATACCCTCATACTGTTATCTCAGGAACCTCACAGTTTTAGATTAAAGAGTGAGCTCAATATTGCAAACAACTATTTCTAGTGTGGAAAGGCAGCAGGGGTGGCTGAATATGAGTCGGGTTCCTTGGGTATGCTAAGTTGCCACTAATTCTGAAAGCTGATAGGAAATAGATCCTAAACAATATATATTAAGTTATCTAACACACTCCCATACGTGGAGATCTTAACATCCATATGGAGAAGAAAGAATGCAAACATAAAGACTTAAACCTCCTCCAACTTAAGCTCTAATACCATGTCAGATTAACTATTGTCTCAACAGTCTTAAGTTGTTAGGAAATAGATTCAATAATGTATATCAAGCTATCTAACAATGTAAACATCAGAACATGATGCTATGGTGTTTATGTCAGTACAAAAAATTCCCATAGTAAGGCAACAACTTCTTAAATAAAACATACTCCGGTATGGCCCCAGTGGCTCAAACTAATATTCTCTCAGGCTCTCTAGCAAGAAGAGATGTGATGTAAACAAACAGCAATCATAACATTAATTCTCCATCATTAATATTAGAGCAAAAGGGGTCCCCTACAGACAACCAAGCGGCTCAGGTTACATTTCCCAATAAAGAGACTTGAACTCATCAAGAAAATATAGAGAGAAACAAAAGTAATTTCCATTGACATGTCAAATAAAATAAAGTTACATAGAAAATGATACAGCCTTCAACTCTAAGTTGAATGAATGTGGAATTTCACTGGTTCAGATCATGGTTGTTCAAATAAATGTAAGTTACTTGATCATCAAAAGATGATGTCATTGGCAGTGGTGAAAATCCAACGTACTCTCTGTCTACCTTTGCTAAACATATTTCAGAAATGTACTTGAAAAGACCATGTTTCTGAGTAATGGGTTGGGCTGCATATTCCTCGAATGGCATCCACTATGAAGAGAAGTGACGATGATTCAAAAAAGGAACAAAAAATCATTAATTATTGCACAAATTGTTCAAACAAAATATTTCCATACTATATCTTAGACATTTAGGCCAAGTTTGGGAAGTCTCAAAAAAGGCAAAAAGTCAAAAAGTTACTCAAAAAGTTAAAAAGTTATCACTATTCACCAAAAGTCAACAATTACGGCTGCACAACTCCCAATTCTAATTTTCCTCTACAAACCAATTTTTACAATTTTTTATTACACATTTTTCTATAAAAAGTCAAAAAGTTAACCCAAACATTTATATTTTCAACCTCTTCTACCTTTGCTAAACATATTTCAGAAATGTACTTGAAAAGACCGTGTTTCTGAGTAATGGGTTGGGCTGCATATTCCTCGAATGGCATCCACTATGAAGAGAAGTGACGATGATTCAAAAAAGGCACAAAAAATCATTAATTATTGCACAAATTGTTCAAACAAAATATTTCCATACTATATCTTAGACATTTAGGCCAAGTTTGGGAAGTCTCAAAAAAGGCAAAAAGTCAAAAAATTACTCAAAAAGTTAAAAAGTTATCACTATTCACCAAAAGTCAACAATTACGGCTGCACAACTCTCAATTCTAATTTTCCTCTACAGACTAATTTTTACAATTTTTTATTACATATTTTTCTATAAAAAGTCAAAAAGTTAACCCAAACATTCATATTTTCAACCTCTAACTTTTTAGTCTCAAAAGACAAAAAGTACAGTTATTTAAGACACTCCAAACAACCCCTTAATTGCAGACTGCAAGAAGAAAACAAGCAACATCACCTACCTATAACATATGTGCAAGGGCACAGGAGGACGGTAGTGGCTGACCCAAATAAAATTAGTTAGCATGTCATATTAGTGTACATGGATCATTCTGAATATTTCAAATATTACTCTCTTTTTGTTGCAAGGAAAATTCCCCGGCGAACCTAAACAACCAAGAGAGAAGGTACATTTTGTTAGGGAATTAGGGAGCCCACAAACGCACAATAATACTGGCCCAATTCATCAGGGATAAATTCTAGAGCCCACATGCTTAACATTAGGGCCCAACATACATTATTTGAAACTCATACTCACTTAAAAGCTTAAACCTATAAGTAGAGAGTCATCTAATGTATATTAAGACCTATCTCCTGTGGAGAGTCATCTAATGTATATTAAGACCTATCTCCTTTTATTCTTTATCCGATGTGAGACTCTACCTTCACATATGCTCCAACACATTTATGGGCCATTTAGTGTGAAGACCACAGATAGCAGACCCTTAATGTTGTTTCCTTGTGTTACTGATTCTTTCAACATACTCAGTTTATTACACTGTATAAGTGAAGTTAAGACTAATTTCAGGACGAGTGTAATGAAGCAAAGAAGAAAACTAATGCAAAAGATAAAAGAGTGTAAGAAACTGTCTCTGCAAATATTGGCTAATCTGTTGTCTTAAGTAAATTACCTGGGCTGCCTCAATCTCTAATTCTTGCTTCTGAATGTCGAAGGATAGTGGACTCAGAATGCAGAGGAAGGATAAATCTGACTTCTCAAAGAATACCTTGTGAAATTGCCTGTAAATCAAAGCAATAAACATGTGGAAACACCACTAAGGCATCAAAATTCTTGTTCATTAACAACATGACTTGCTTCATCAGGTCTTGCTTGTCTCACCACATAATATGAGAAGCATCAGAATCTTTAAGTTTACCTATTAGGTCCAGCGTTCTACAAATTCAGCTTTGTGCAATGGAATCCATTAATTAGTGAGGCTTGGCCATGTGGTGTAACTAAAGTTATTAACTTGGACAAAGCTGAACGGCAAAATAGGATTTATGTAACCAACCTCAAATGGTCGGATGAGGCATTTTGAAATTGAGTGGAGTTGAACACTGTTCATCCAAACTACAACAAAAAAAATGGCAAGATTAAAAAAATTTCTGAAGATCTTCCATCTTCTTGAAATATTTGTCTGCTGACAACTGAATCCACATGAATTTAAGCAAATTTTATTTGGGAACCCTATTGATTTCATTGGCTATGAACGTTCATGACACACTGCCCAATTTCGATACTATGATTATGGCTTAATTGTGACTTGTGAGGAAAGAACTTCGAGATTATGCCACATACACACCTAAAAGCTAGTATTTCCACAAACTCTGTGTCAATCTGAAATAGTACAACCCGTCAGTCTCAGAAGGATCAGTGGCAGTTAGGTAAAAAGGGAAGAATGAAAAACATCATCAGTTTCATCACATACATTTGTTTCTTCTTTTACTTCTCTCACTGCTGCTGCAAAGATATCCTCACCCTGTGGATTAAATAGATCAATTAATCGTTGAAGAAATTTGCAATTTAACCTTGCAAATGAACTTCGTTCAGGTGTGTACCTCATCCACTACTCCTGTCGGGATCTTCCAAATACCTTTGCCTTGTAATCTTCCACTCTTTTCCTGGACCACAAGCAACTACCAACCACTTTCCAGGTTCAAAATTACAAACACAACAAAACGATGGCAACAAATTTAAAGCAAATTACAAAAACTACAACGTTTTTACATTACGCTCACCAGAGGATCAATTGCAGTATAAAAAGATGAGCAGCAGGGAATTCAAAGCAAAACAATGGCAATACCTCTCTTTTATCATTCATGACAATAGCACCAACACCTACTCGGTGTGTAGCATTTGCAGGGACAGTACTAGCTGCTTCAGGAATCCAGTATACGAGCATCAGGTAATGAGGCTCAGCATGGTGGTACCGAAACCCCTCCTGCTCCAACAGAACCGTTTACCAAACAAAACTCAATACACAAAACAAAATAAAATACCCATCAAATGTCAAACCATGATATAGAGCATAATCACTGTATCTGAAGTCTGTTCAACACCAATTTCCTTCCGTTCGCCAAGAATAAATGGTATAACCCGGACTAATTTCTTCTTGTTAGGTTCATGAAAAGACATGGGTTCAGGTTTGAGCAACAGCACTATAGCACCATATCTTAAGTCTGTCCAAACATGAATTTCCCAGGATTCTCAGATTATTAGTTCTATAACCATCTAGTCCAGTCCAAGAAAAGTTGGTGTACGGGGAGATATACGTCGCTGTCCGTATTCCTTTCGTCCAAGCTCCGTGTCTATCCGATCAACCTGAAAACACAACGGCGGTGAGCTACCCGGTGGTGTGTTGCCGGAAAACCCCTCCGACGGTCAAGTTAGCACACTCAAAGAGAGAGAAGCTGAATGAATGTTAAGTTTCTCTCACCAATTGATGTTCCATCCTCAGCATGGGGGGCGCAGTCATACTTATATACTCTCTGCGCTCACCTCTGCACCCACTCGTCTATTGACACGTGGAGCTGTTCTCCCATCTGTCAACGCAAATCCAGCTAAACACCACCTAATTAAACCGCTAGACAACATTAGCGGAAATGGGGCAGCCCGACGGCATCACCTCGGCCTCCTACGACCGTGCTATGTAACGAGTCCGACGGCGCCACTCGCCGAGCTCCATCACAACCGAGCTCAGTAACATTCCGGTACGACTGAGCTCCAAACAGATTAAGCCGGTATTCAGAAGACCTTTCCCGCCGAGCTAAATGTGCGAACAACGAAACCCAGGTTGGTCGACAATCACCTCGGCCAAGTTAGCTCGGCCCAAACTTGGGAGCTGGGACTCGACCGAGCAAACCAAATCTGGACAGGCCCAAGTTAGTTCAGCCCAAACATGGGACCTGGGCCTCGACCAATCAAACCAACTGTGGAAAAGCCCACGTTAGCCCTGCCCAAACACGCTCGGACCTCTCTCTACCCGGCTTCTACTACGGCCCTAAGCCAGATTATAAATTTCCCTCTCAATTGCCCCTTAATTCCGTCCGCGCAAGCGTGACTGGGATTACATGATCCGACCGGGGTCGATTCTCAGCCCGACTTAAATCCGCAAGACGTTGACCGAGCTAACCCCCATGCTCGGTTTCTTGACTTGCTCGATCGACGCCTCAGCTCGCCATCCTGTCTCTTCAGTACTAACGCCGCCGTCATCATGGACATGCGTCCTTTGCTCATTGGTCTTGAGCAGCCAACCCCCCTGCCTCTTCATTTTTCGAATTTTTTGGCACTTCTTTTCCTCCTATAAGTACGTCGTTTGCCCCTTCCTCTTTCTTCCTTATTGCTCATCCTCCTCCTCAGACAACCCAAAGACTCGAACCTACAGTGTAACCTCCTCTTTCGAACATTATCTTTGCCCACATCACAACATCCATTAGGTGGACTCGGCTTCGCAATTGAAGCTCAGGAGTATTTCTGCGCTTGAGGATCCGATTCTCTCCTCCAAACCTGTAAGTTCTTCGAATCTCTTCATTTGATACTCGTGTTTTCTAGGCCTGTGATAGCAGTAGGTTTTAGGATGTAGCCCTCCAAAAACCATCTCTGCCCCTTCTCCCTCAAATGTTCTTCATCTTCTTTGATGAGCACGCGAGGATCTAGGGCAGACCGGGCTCCTGGACCTCATTTGATCCCAAAAAATAATAGAATTGAGCAAGTTGGAAGTTTGTGAGATGAGTGGGAATCTAATAGAACGCTAGCCCGCTCGACCGGGCTAACATCTAGTCCGCTCGAGCGGCCAAGCTTCTGGGTGCACAGTAATAATCGAGGTACTGTTGCACTTCTTGTGTCCGAGCTAAAACCGAGCTCATTTGCGCGACCGCGCTACCACTTACACTTGGCTTTTACTGCAGAGTCCTAGGGGACCAGAAACCAACACTGAGGCTCTCAAAGGCCGAGCAGCCATCAAACAAAAGTTTGCCAAACCAACACAGCCGTGCTAAAACCAGTCGGCTTCACATGGGGCGTTACCGCTTCCTTGTTGACACACCGGTCGCACTAGCCGCGTTTCGGGAAGAATACGGTGTCCCCGCAGACGTACATCTCAAGCTCGGTGCCGAGGACACAACCCCTTGGGGCAGGCTGGACCAATGCCCTTTCACCGTGCTTTCCATAATCGAAGGCGGCCTTCGCTTCCCGATTAATCCTCTAATGTGCGAGTTCCTGAGGCGTACCGGGCTAGCACCAACACAAGTTTCAACCAACACCTACAGAATAATAAACGGGATAGCCGAGCTAAACAACCGGCTGGGCCTGAACCTAGGATTAGCCGAGATTCTATACCAGTACACCCTCGGGCATACAGGGGATGGACTCAACTACTACTTAAAGATTAGGCCGGGCAAGGAGAACATTGTGACCGGCACCCTAGATAAAGATATGCACGACGATGACTTTTTCTGGGTGTTTGGAAATTACGAAACAGCCGACGTGCTCGGATGGTACATTAGCAAGAACTTCGGTTTGACATGTAAGCCATGCTCACTGCCCGGTCAACCCATTTTCCTTCACTGTTCTGTACTAATGACTTTTCTTCTTTCCCACTTTGCAGCTATCGAAGCCTTGCAAGCAAACTACTACAACCCCAAGGAGAAGATTGTGACCGGCACCCTAGATAAAGATATGCATGACGATGACTTTTTCTGGGTGTTTGGAAATTACGAAACAGCTGACGTGCCCGGCTGGTACATTAGCAAGAACTTCGGTTCGACATGTAAGTCGTGCTCACTGCCCGGTCAACCCATTTTCCTTCACTGTTCTGCACTAATGTCTTTTCTTCTTTCCCACTTTGCAGCTATCGAAGCCTTGCAAGCAAACTACTACAACCCCAACGAGGCTGCCATCAGAACCGTACTGCGGTATCATAACCGGGATTGCCACAAACTTCTCGGCTACATACCGAGCTTCAGGTACACAGCTCCCCGCCGGAGTAGGGTTCCAAACTTTCTCCGAGCACCGTCTCTACCACCCGATCCAACACTACCGGACGTGCCCTTTATCCGGCTAACAGAAGAAGAAAAGATGGCCAAGCGGAGCCGCATCAAGAACCTCATCACCGCCACATCCGCCGAGCTGCCGAGCGTTCCCCCTCGCACCTCAATAGCCGGACAATCATCCGAGACCGTCATCGCCTTGGCGTCAACCACTTCAGCGCAGGCCAGCAAGGAAAGCCGCCGAGCAGGCAAAAGGCCTCGGTCTGCCGACCCAACTACCGAGCTTGTGGCCGAGTTGAGCACCGAGCAACCCGCGGAGGGATCTGAACCAACTCCGCCATGGCACCCATAGTTGAAGCACCAGGGAAAAGAGATCCCGGCCAACGCCTCTGTGAAAGGCGATAAATAACACCTTCTGGCTTTTGACCTGACAAAAGCACTACTTTTGTCGAGCGACGTGGCCGACAACGAGCATGTTCCCAACACCCGGTTTGTCAAGTCCTCGGTTAAATCTATGACCAGGGTAAGAGCTCTATACATCTATTCATATTTGTGAAGTGTTTCCACGGTTACTCTTCTTATTTCATCTCTAACACGTCCTCTTACAGGCTATCCAGAAGTAGCATCTCGTGATGGACCGAATTCACAAGCTCCGGCAAAAGGTGACCGATGCCAACAACCAGGCCAAGAATCTTGAAATCGAGCTGGGGAGGTCTAAGGCTTCACTTGAAATGGCCAATGCTGACAATGCAAAACTCCTCGGCCAACTTGGCCGGGCCAAGCAAGAAAGGGAAGAGCTGAAAGCCCAACTCGCGGCCGAAAAAGAAGGAAGGAAGGCTACCGTGGATGAGGCCAACAATCTCGGTTTCCAGGAGGCCGAGGATAACTACACCAAGCAGGTCGAAGCCACCAAGGACATTTATTTCAAGTCCGGTTGGAAGGCCGCTTGCGAAAAACTCGGCCAAGGATCGGAGACCAAGGATTTGCTTCTCCTCCCCCAGCCTTCCTGCCGGTCTACCTAATTCCTTATGCCAATGAAGTCTTCAACGCCTTGCAAGAGGAGGCGGACAAAGAAGCCGAGGAAGAGGGTAGTCAACCGGAGCTCGGCGAGAAAGAGAAGGTTGTTATGGTTGACCTAGAGGTCGCAACAGAAGGAACCGGTGACGAGTTTGTCGATTTCTCCCCGCTAGCTTAGTTTAGGCTTGTCTCTTTTGATTTTTGTTTGAATTTTTGTAACCGGGCTACAAGCCCCACCATACGTATCAAATTTTCCCATTAATGAAAAGTTGTCATTTCGCACATACTTTTGCAATGTCTGCTGTAGTTTTCTTTTTAACCGTGCTATTCTTCATAGAGCCGAGAAGATTATCTTGGTCACAGAAAACAAAGTCTTGTCAGCGCTACATAAACAAAGTCATTCATGCAAATAGCCGGGATAAACTCTCTGGGGTTGAGAAAATCATCAACCCTTTTAGCCGGGGTAAATCATCTCGGTTAGAGCCTTGGAGTTGGGCAAATCACCAACTCCTTTAGCCGGTGTAAATCATCTCGGCTAAAACCCTTGGGCAAATCACCAACTCTTGCAACCGGGGTAAATCATCTCGGCTAAGACACCTGAGTTGGACATGTCACCAACTCTTGCGGCCGGGGTAAATCATCTCGGCTAGAGCCTTGGAGTTGGGCAAATCACCAACTCCTTTAGCCAGTGTAAATCATCTCGGCTAAACACTTGAGTATGCCCCTCAGTCACTATATTACTTCGAACACAGCAAACCTCTTCAGCAAAGATAATTCACTTTCATTACATTGGCAAAAAGAGTATTACATTCGGAAGTGTAGGGGGAACAAGTCCTTTCACAAAAAATTACATAAGAATGATAAATACTAAAAATAGTACAATTTGAGATTGGCCGCATTCCATGGCCGGGGTACGCCTCTACCATCCAAATCTTCT